TCTGAGAACTCTCAGCTCTTACATTTGCCTATCGCGAGCTCTTAAGACCCTCACTGATCATTGTCTTGATTATTTCATCGACCTTCAACATCTCAATGTCGGTTTGGCCGCGTTCCTTCATCTGGGCGACAATATCAACTTCCATCAAGTCGAGTTCGATGGCGCTAGGTTGCAAACCATTTTCATTCATTCTGTGAGCTGCCACACTTCTAGCTATTCCGAGCATGGTTTTGTGTGTATCCAGACGTGTCTGGTGGTTTTGTTTAACTATTTTCGTGGTTAACACATTTTTCGCGATTTTCGCGGATTTGGGGGCTACCGGTGCCATTTCAAGGCTGAGTAGCGCGGTACCACGAGAAATTGATGTCTCGACGTTCGAAGGGTAATTTAAGGGGTGGAAAAAGTGAAGAAAGGGGATTGTCGAATTTCTCGAATTGATGAAGGGTTTGGTTGAGTTTTCCATTATTTCTGTGTTGGGATACACTTTGTCGATCCTAATAGGCTCGATAATTAGTAGTTCCGATCAACTGGTGTTTGGCGAACGGAAATTGCGTATACCCTCTGTTAGCGTTGTTTACTGGTGTTAACAGGAGATCCCGCATGGATTATCTATTGGGATTAAAAGGAGTATGGTACCTGTGTTTAGAAGAGTGGACGAATTGAAATCCTTTTATCCTTTATGATTGCATAAGCTTCCCTCAACTAGCAAGACCACGAACTAAGTTGTGGGTTATATTTATAATAATAACAGCAGTTCACAATGATTCATCGGTTATCCTCCCTAAACCTTCTGCCAACAAACCTCCGCAAGTTCTTACCTTTGCTAAAGATCCTTATTAGGTTTATAGATCTAGTTCAGCACCTGTGTATTGCAATAGATCCAAAGAACAGCCAAGTCTAATCAAAATGAGGATTTGGACAGAAAAAAGTAATTGTACAAAATTATGCGGGGCACTACTACTCGAGGCCGGGTGGTGTAGCGGTTATCACACCAGCTTTACAGGTCGATTCTCCTTCAAAGTCTAGAACATGTGTCATAGCTGCATAGCTGCATACACTGTCAAAGGTATTGATTGAGAGGGAAGTCACCTCTGATCGCTGTTGGTCGCGAGTTCGATCCTCGCCCTGGTCAAGCCTTTTTGTCCAGTATACCTCACCACCCGTCAGGAGGATTCACTACGAGCCTTCAGCTCTTCTTGTTGAGTAACGCCTTCATCTCAGTGCAGGTCCCCTAGCACCATTATCACAGTAGTATCCACGATCTGACTAGACCGTAAGATCCGAGCCCTACCCGACTTCCACAAACTTTTCTTGGTGACGGAGTATAGAGAATGAATGAATATTTGTTCGTGACACGCTCAAGCCTGGCATTTACAGAACATGACACGGGGAAGGTTATTCGTCGACAACTACATACGACAATAACCCCGTCTGAAATTCGGATCACTCATCTCGTGGAAGAATTCAGTGATACCACTCGAGACCCATGTGCTAGGGACTTTCACTCTTCCCTCAACTATGAATATCCACCAAAGGAAAAATTGTTGGCTACTCTAACATACCTTTGCCGTCTTTTGTATTGCCACCGCGCGAGATAGGGCCTCGCAGCCCTCGCTTTCTCGAGTAAGGTAGGTGTCTAGGCTTGTTGGAAATATCGCGCGATGAGATGTGCGCAATATTCATGGAACGATAGTAGAAGTTGATAAAAATGGTGGGAGGTGTGCGCTGTAAGAACAAGTGTAAGCGACATGAAGCCTAAGCCACAGCATCGACGAAGATGGCGCCATGTAGGCATCCATTAGGGAGCCTGAACCACTACCACGCTATCCACTCCAAACTCTTAAATACATGCAAGATCATGTCAGGAACCTAAACTAAATGGAGGGTCTGTACCTCCACAAAACCCTGTGTCTCCATTTCCCACAAGGCAGCTTACACTTGAACTCGGGGAGATGATGACCAGGAGGCCGACTACAGCACCTCCCATTGCTGCCTGTTACAAAAGTGTTGGTGGCACTATTCGAATCGTAGCCTCAAACCTCACCCGCACGCTAAAGTCAAGACGCCTCGAAAAATTTGAGTCCCAGAATGCCCATTTGCAGCCTCTTTATTCGTTCCTCCACGTCCCAGCTGTCTGTCTTCCCTCAACCTGTGAATATCCATCAGAGCAACGGTCTTCTATAGACCGAAATCCGAGCGTTGTAAATTATGACATAATTTTCTTCTTGCAGGTGTACATGGCATCGTAACTTTGTAGTGGGAGATGACCCATTATCGATGAGGCAACTTCCCGATAGCAATTACAGTTGCGCCTTTATTGCTAGTTGAGACAAGGTGGTGTGGTAGGATTGAGAGAGAGGAATTGCGTGAGAATGATAGGTTCGATATCAATGAGAAGTCGTCGATTTTAGATATGCTTGAGCTTACTTTCGAAGGGTAAGACTTAGCACGTGTACGCGGTGTACTCTACGAACCTGGGAGTAAAATCTTCTCCCAGAGCCAAGTTCAGTTAAATTTCGCAATTATTAGAATATGATTCTCTTAGACAACTGATATAGGACTACTGGAAGTAGACTTGATAAAGTATTGAGTTAACATAAAAATACAGGGCGTGTATCGTGACAACTACGCTGCACTCTTGTGGATCCCGGATAGATCTACAGGGCACGAATTAGCCAGATGTAGGAAACACGGCACACACACGTAACCGTAATTATCCTATGATCTCACGCACAGCAAATCGCACTGTCAGAGCCCACGGTCACAGCCCGCGACCACAGCAGTAGCTCTACTAGCGTTGAGGAGTAAGGAGTAATCAATGTATATAGACACATAGACATCCGACACTTGAAGGATATAGAATTCACGTATTAGTCTCAAGCTCTTCACAAGATCCGTAATAGTTAAGAGCCACGTGACACCACGTGATATCACACCAATCTTACACCCACACCCATTGTATACTAAGTATACAACGCGCGCTCGGAACCTCACTCTCTCCTAATGCTACGACATAGCTCTCGCTACACGCTAATATGGAACTACTAATACAGGGTATATAACATCTCCAAACGCCTTACTCGTTCTGCTCCTAAGGAAACAATAGTCACAAGGAGCGCAAGACTGAACACCTGTACGCGGTGTCCTCTACGAACCTGGGAGTGAAATATTCTGCCGGAGCCAAGTTCAGTCAAATTTCGCAATATCGAAGAAGTTGGCCCACGAGACAAAAATCCAAATTACTCCTCTATGTCGTTATTTCGCCCCCAACGAGTTTGACTCCTATCTTCGTTTCATCAAGTCTACAAGTACGACCAAGTACATCCTCATCCTGATGACCACACCACTCTTCGACCTTCTCTGGCCTCAGCTGATCACCAAATACACGCCCACGCCGATATTTATACCCGACGGAGGAAGGAAAGCGTGGCGCACAAATCTGGGAGACAGTTCTTTGGGATGGATGTGAGAGGGATCTGGACAAGTTGACAAGATGATGCGAAGGACGGATATAACCTCGAAGGGCAAGAGATTGCGAATTTTGGCAAGGATTTTTTCGAATTGGGCTTTGTGCGCGCCAAGACTTCGGTTGCGAGAGTGCAGCTGACACTATAAAAATAAGCAAACGATGGAAGGTGTTGTGGTCCGCCTCCTGGTGGTGTTCTCCGGTATAGTTTGAGTAGCCTGGGCATCTACTCCACTTGGGAAGGAGACATCTCAGATCACATATCGCGCGGAGAAAAGTTGAAAGATGATGGAGGCATGTCTGGATAACTCAGGGTTTTTGAGATGTTCCCCTGGGTGGGTATTCACAGATGAGGGTTGACCTGGGGTGAAGAAAAAGCCACCATAACTTCGCAGTGGTACTTGCAAATGAAATCCGAGGCAGGAGAGCTCTTCTTGTAAATTGAGTCATCTTTTCTGTACTTTTATTTGATATTGTGTCATAGCTAAATAGTTGCATACGCAGTTAAAATCTGATGCAAAAAAAGAAAATTACCACAGGGCTGCTTCAGCTCACTTTTCGCACCGTTTACTAGCCCGGAAATTGTTGTTGCGCACTTGTTGGCAGCTGTAATGTCAGTATATCCTCTGCTCCATCTACTCGTATTCCGACCGCTGTTTAAGCCACTATAACTGTGACGACTGATGCATAAGCCCTTCAGACTGGCTACACCAAAGTAATGGAAGAAATTGCTTTTCGGGTAGAATCTGCAAGACTCTTCTCAACAACCTTTTAAGAGACTAAAATCCTTTCCTAGATTTAGGATACCCTTGAAAGCATCTCCTTTTACTCTTTCTTGAAAGCACCTATATATCCTGATACAAATTCCTCATACTGGCCATGTCATTTTACTTAGACTTGCCCCAATAAAAAAGCTAATCTTTTTCATTGACGACCGAAGAATCTCAAGATTCATATATTTAGGAGCTGATTTTGCTCCTAGCCTTCGTTGTCCATGGCTATTTCTGCTCTTCGAGACGCGCTAAGACCGCTGGATTTCATCCTACCGGCTGCCATACTCGCCAATACATAGTGCGGAAAGTCTTAAGACGGTAGTAGGGTATATGATAGTTGAAAACAAGGGATTGAAAGTCACGACGATGAAGCGTGGAACGTTACATATAGCTTAGTGGTATTTATTCTTTCTGGAACGACGAAATATTTGGGTCAACTTTGACATAGATTCTTGAGCCTTCAGGCCATCCCCAAAGTTGTTAAAAATATTCCCGTCAAATTGGTTTTGCGAGAGCTTCAGAAGTTATCACTTTTACCTATGTAAAGCCCCACTCATCCCCCCTGGAATTTTATAATGTTTATTTTGTTCCGGATTTGCTTAGTTTCTATTTGATCTACAAATTATAACCCATGTAATGAGCAATAGCGCCTATATTCTCAATCATCCTAAAATTGCACCCTTTACCTGATACTTACCATACCATATGCAAAAACTCCATGCCACACGTTTGCCGAAGAAAGTTTGACAGCACAAGATGCCTCATGCAAGTGAATGAATAACGTAAAATAACATGTATGCTTCTGCGCTAAGAACCTCAGATTTCATTGCCAGAGTGACTTTATGATCATTGAACTTGAACCACTAATTCTTTTAGTTTAGTACAGTATTATTTGTAGCCGATAAAATACGTACCTGATTTCCGACTCGAGAGTATGAAACATAATGTCCTACGTAGTGTCAGGAGGGGGCCCTAGCCTCCAAGGGAAAGGGATTGACCTTTTTTTAACTCGCCAACATGAACTACTACACTTTGCAATTCATATGTACATCCTAGTGCCAGAGGAGAATTTCTTGTAGCTTTTTCTTGTGACCTGTTGGTGTAAGGCAGCATTTCTAATTTTAACGGAAACGAAACATTTGTTGAAAGTTTTAAAGCACCATTATTTGTCTGCTTGAACCGCTGATAAATAAATGAGTAAATGTTTATTAAGATAAAATTGAAAAGGTTCAGACCTTGAACTGTATGCATAACACATTTGGGAGACTTTTTATGCTGGTGACTTTCCGTGCCTTGGTCGATCCACACTCGCAATTATATTCACAGACTTCTGGTTTCTTGAATTCTTCTTCTAGTCTCCTTTGCAGGGTTGAGGCTGGTCCTTTAGTACCATATTTAGGTAAATCATCAATTGCTAGGCTTAAATCCATGAAAGCCTGGACCGAGGTTTTATTTCGATGGCACTTTTGACAAGTGATAACACTCTGTGACTTTCCATAGAAAGTTTGATGAATGATACATGTACAGCTACCATCACGGCTATTTTTCGGTTTTTTGGGGGTTAAAAGAGATCCGCCAGGCTGTCTGGAACCGCTATTTATCTCATGTAATTCTTCGGCAAGAAATGTGAGAAATTCGTGCGCGTCCTGTTCATTGTTGGACGCTAGTTCTTCGTAAGCTTTTCTTTTTGATAGCCAAAAACATGCCAGTACCTGAGCAGCACAGAATCCCCCCGTTGATTCTTGTGAATAAAATTCTTGGAACATTATGTCCATAGAACAGCTCATGCAGGCTTTGACGGAACATTCTGAAGACTGATGATTGCAACCAAGATACCAATTCCGGAGTAATGGATTGTTGACAATACATTGTAAAATTACGTTGATATAGCAGGTTGATCCCATGTTGTAAATACCACGAATACCACTCACACGACAAGACGCCTCGACAGTGTTGGCTAATACTGTGCTCAGACTTTCCTTGGGTAGTTCTGTAAAGATATCTTCATGCTTACGCTTTCGCGCCCCTGTGATGTATTTAACAAGGCTTGTAGACTGTATGGCTTTCGGATTTACCTTGAAACATGCCAGTCCCGAACTTGAGGATCCTCATCTCTTCGAGAGTCGGGTCCCAAATGAAGTCATTGCATAGTTGACAGAAGACTGTACCAGTCCGAGATTCAACAACTAATGAGTTAGAGACAAAATTGGCAATTATTTTGGGTGTCAGAGCTTACAGTAACGGTGAGAAGTGTCATCACTATGACGTTTACGGCCCTTTTCAGTTAAAGTGGCATTACATTGAATGCATAAATAATTTGGTGTTAAAGTTATCAGAGGTTGCCCTTTTGAAGTCTGTGAAGTTTGTGATAACACTGGGTCGCCATCCGTAATACAGCGCAAGCAGTCCTTGTACTTTTTCAAATGTCCCTCACCTGGGTTCGTGTCTTTTGTCAAGAGACGCTGAATGTGCACTGAGCCGACTCGTGTGAGCTTGCAAGGCTGACAAACTACAGATTTGGGAGATTCTTACCACAGCCAAAGAGAGGAATACCGGGTTGAGAGGGTTTAATCTTGAGAGATATGGATGATCCAGGTGTGACTGGGCCCACCGTAGACATATTCTCTTCCAGGGATCTGTCGCAGATGCGAAGATACAAGCTTAAGTCGTCAAGAATCGCTCCGAACTACGACTAGACCGCCTCTGCCCAGCTGCTCAGGGGTTGCGTTCAAGCCTTCCAAACTGGTCTCAGGGCACTATATGATGTAAATATACATCTCTCGCGTTTCTGGTATATCACAATTTGTCCGCTGACATGGTCACATATCTAACTCACTTATCAAGTGTAAAAATTTCGAAAGTGTAAAGCTTCGTCTGTTGAGAAGCAGATGCAAGCTCGCATAGGATATAAAGAGTAGCTCAACGGTTGGTATTCAGCCTTGCTGTCAGCATTATACATTTCTTTGTATTTTCGAGGTAGAAAAGAATTTAAACTCGCATCCAGTTATTGAGACAAGCTTTTTTCATTCAATCTAAAATATATTTGTCTCTGTTATTCAGCTACGATGTCGAACAAATCTTGTTGCATGAATGACCTCTTGAGTTTAAAACCATACCAGGATGTGTAGATCCAGGTAGACGAAAACTCAATACCTGTCAGCGATAACCCACACAAAACTTCAGTTCTCAGGGAGACTATTCTCAACGACTGTTAGTGGTGTCCCCTACGAACATTCAGCTATCACTACAAAGTCTGCAGAGCCGAGACTAAGTAACAAAGTCCTCACTTCGACGAGGATTCCCAATCGCATTTGCCATCTGTATCGTCTTCATCTCTCAACATATTCGCCTATCACCACCATCATGAAGCTAGCCACGATCAGATCAGATGGTAGGGTCGGAGCCCTGGCCAAAATATTTGATTATGTAGCAGAAACTATAGAGTTTCTACATCTCTCTGAGAGAGGAGGAAGACTCAAGAAATTAGCCATTGATACAGCTCTTTTTTTGACCAGTGAAGTAGAGATTAATGAACAACTAATTAAGGTCACATCAGCTCTAGTCTTGGATATCAAAAGATAGTTTGATCATGCTGTAAGAACTGTTCTGATATACAGTACCTGTGGGTGTGCATGAGCTGTGGGGCGTCACACAAACTATGTCGGGTGTGGCTAGCAAGGCACAGCGAAGGATTATTATTATTATTATTATTATTATTATTATTATTATTATTACTATTTACTCATTTTAATGTCCTGTCTGAGCCTATGACTATGTAGGACATGCTGGTCCTCTCTGCCTACAGGCCAAGGATACCTATAACAGTAGTATATCCCCTCTTATGCCACCCATACAGATTCCCTCAAACAATACCACCCCTCACAAGTCCTCATTCGATCATACACTTAGAGAAATATTTAGCCCTTCATTATCTCCCTTATCCAGCCAACAAAATGACGTCCATTTTCGGGTGTATAGCTGCCGGGAAAAATCGGAAAAATCACTGGGTACGGAGCTCTCCTAATCCCGACATTGGGACTACATCCGAAGACATAGTGACCCCTCAGAAGCGTTCCAAGAGGCCGGTCAGCTGGGCGCTGCATACTTGTGGGTACCTCTGAGAATTCACACTCTGCCTTTCTAGCCTCCTTCCAACTCCTTCCAACTCCTTCCCAAAGGTCGAGGTGAAATGTCAGAAAGTCTTGACAGAGCGTGATTGCTGCATGGTAGATTAGTCCAACTTTTATTGTGCCGTCCAGGGCCCTGGGGAGGGCCGTTGACTCATCGACAATAGAAGCCCTTCTGGCTAATTAGTCGAAATCTCGATCTTGACGCCCACACAAAATCCAAAGTTGAAAACTCGTCGAAAATGTCAGTCCCAGCATGGTCTTCAGAGACCTCTTTCCCCTCTCGCTCCACATCTCAGCCGCCTGTCCTTCCTCAAGATGTATAACCCGATTAGAGCAGCAGTCCCCCATAAACCAAGACCCCAACTTTGTAAATTATGACTTAATTTCCGCCTCACGGGTATACGTAGCGCTGTAAATTTGTAGTGAGTAATGGCCGGCGATAAATGAGGCAAGCTTCTGTTTGCAATTGGGGTGACGCCCTTATCGGTCGGCGAGGCGAGATGATATGTGGCTAGATCGGGGTTGAGGGCTAAGAAGAATATGGTGAGTGCTGCATGATTGAGAAGTGGTCGAATGGAGATATGCAAATGTAGCTTTCGACTTTGATTCGGATGCGATTCTTCTTGGCTATCCCAGATATGCAGAGCATCCTGAGCGATTACACCGGCACCACTGGAAGGTGAAGAATTCGTCTTTGCCGGCGCTGAGACGGGTGATGGCTGGCTTGAATTCACCAAGCTGAACTATATTTCTTGCGGTGCCTGCATTTAAGGATTACGTGAAATTGTGACTTCCGTTTCCGAGGCATGAGTACTCTATTAGTTGGAGCCAAGAAAAGAAAAATGACGGTGGTGGTGAATGCGGATGAAGTTAGGGGATGAATATCTTTAACGTCAAAACAGTCAACCAACATGTACACAGCACCGACTATTTCTCGTGTCTTGAAAGCTGAATACACATTAATTGATCAAATTGATAGAATTCATGAGCTCAAACAAAATGAGGCACAAAGCATCATCTATATTTCATGGCTAGACTGCTACAAAGACACGAATCGGATCAGCGCAAAAAAGCTCCTAGCAAGGGTAGGCCCCATTTTCAGTAAGAAAATGAATCAAGTCTTTTACACATTCTAAGCTCCAGAGGTTTGTTGCTAGGGTTCGCGACATGAAATTATGGATTATCAACTCGATATCTTTAATTGGCTTGTTGAATTTTAAATATTGTTTTAAGCCCTGGCTAACCACCATATCTCCTTGTGACCACAATGTTATCAAAAACTCCCCAAGTGATGGCTCCGTTCACTAAGTTCTGGTTTCGATAGAAATTCGTACTTTTTAATATGCTGGAGATTCGGCTTAAACTTTTTCACTGCCAGTCAACATGAGCTTTATGGTTTTTTTTTGGGGAAATTCACAATGATCCCTAATTTTTGAGATAATTAAACTGATATTTGTTTACCTGTAGTTTGTGACCGAGCTTGTCAGACATCATCTTTTTTCTGCAAGGGCTTTCTCTTCAACGCCCAAAAGTCGCTTTCGAAATTGGCGAAGCACAAAAACTCATTACTTAGCTGTTGTTTGGAATGAACCGGCTCTAGGCTTGTTCTGGCTATACTTTGTTGCTGGTACAGCTTTAGTATCGCATTTTCCATTCTCTCTCCAGTGCACACAATAAGTCTTGAATTCTCTACCTCCCACTCCGAGTCTTTTTTATGGCACTTTGATATCCATCGCACTGTCATCGCGGCTAGTTGTAGAGTTAGAACTAAAGTTCTCGGTGTAGCTTCGGGTGAATATCAAGTACCTTTTGTTTGGCAGTCATCACTGAGGAAGGGGGGATCGCAAATGATGTGATCAACTGCTCCTTTTAACCAAGCTATTTACTTTTAGCCAATGCAGGTATCATGAAGGAAATTTTTACGAGGCAGGCTCAGTGGTTTGTTGTAGTCGTAGAAAATGAAATCGTCCTTGAAAATTTCAAAACGTATATCGTACTCGAGCAACAATAGTCGCGGCCATTTATCTTTTGGCCTACCACTCTGTTTCTACAAATCGATTAGCCTCAGATAAACTTATTGGTTGCTCTAAAAAATTACCAGTATCCTCCTTGCCATGACATACGCACTAGGCGCGCTGACCATTGCTACAGTCTCCTTTTCATCTGCATCACCGAGCAAGGCTGTTGCAAGTATATTCGCGGTTTCCTCAGAGTACTGCAATCATAACTAAAAACCCATCACCTAATTTTCTCAACTCAACTCACCCAAAACTGTGAATCTTGCCAGCTTTCCACGAACAAATCCATAGAAAGTATATCTACACTATCCGCAGCTACCTCAGCTTCATGTTTTAACTTTTGAAATGTTTCTTCACGTGCTGTTCGTTCCGCATAGAATTCCTGCAAAGCAGAGATGGCTGTACAGGAAAGGGTTCTAGATATTTGTAAGCTACTGAAGAAAAAGATCTCACGTAATTAATTACGGCGTCTCCTCATCGTCCATTTATACAATAAACTTAGTGAAAATTAAAGGTCGGGGAATCGATCGTGTAAACTATCCTTGAGATAAAGTAGTTGAGATTTGTGGGTGCAGAAATTTACGTTTAAGGCCCCAGATTTGTGAACTACCGTACGCGTCGAGGCCTAGTCTAGGAAATAAAAATAAATATAAAAAGTTTCAACGTAAGTGTAACAATATCCAAGAATTGCAGAAACCATCGGTTCCATGGCTGTGCACAAGTATAGATATTATCAAAGCTACATATGTCACCAAAATTTCCAATAAAAGTACATTAAAATCCCTGTCTTCATGCTGGAAGAAACTGCTTCATATCTGACTTTATTCAAATCTTATATTGCCAGTTGACGCAAGTGAATTGTTCTTTACTGACTATCTAAGACATGCAAATACTTCTTATCTTCTCTTTTTTCGCGTTCTGTCGCCGGTGGTAAGTCGTAAAATGCGGAACTTCGATATGATTTCTAAAATGCGTTAGTATGAGTCTTTGTGGGGATGCCTTGATCTTTACCAAGTAATGGAAGGTAAGACTGCTTAGTTCTGCTGGTTCGATACCTAGATCCTTGAAAGTCTTTGCAGTAGGGTCTATCTTTTGATCGATAAATTCTCGCTCAATTTCATCTGCTGATAGAACCGGCCACCATATGGCTTTATTCAGGAGTCCGGCGACTGGCTTGAGTATTTTTTTAGGGATATTGATGTGCCAGTGGTGCTTAATAATTTCTCTATCTACAATCTTAGAAATTTCCGCCGTAGAATAATTTTTTGGTCCATAGAGCTCGAATGTCTGCTCGGCAGTTCTATCGTCATAGAGCATTTTTTCGAGTGCCTCGCCAACATCGATTACCTATTATAGATTAATAAGACTCCTCAACTTAATTGTAAATAACTAACGTGAACAGGCCAGTAACGCTCCTGCATGTTGTTCGAAGTAAAAAGATTCGTAACTCCTGCGAGTTTGTGGAGTAATCGATCTTCAAATCCAAATAGAGGAGCTGGCCGAACAATTGTAGTTTCCGGAAATATACTTCTAGCAACCGCTTCTCCACGGGCCTTCTCGAGATTAGAACATTATCTTTGTCTCTGGTATGAAAACTACCTTTGTACGGAAGAATTCAGATGTTGAGTTAATGTCTGCATTGTATGAAGAGACATGGATAAATCTGTCGACATCATATTTTGCAACTGCTTCTGCTATTCGTTCCACGCCTTCAACGTGCACGTCTTCGAGGTCGAAATTTCTTTAAGAATTCAGCAATCTCCGATCTGGGATAAGAAGTTATGACTGACTTTGTGGGGTACATTCTCCCAACCAAATTATATACTACATCAGAGTGTCGCACGCTTTCTTCAAGTGATTTTGTGTTTCGTAAATCGTATTCCTGATCTCAAGTCAGTTACTTAAGAAAGGTGTATTTTTATCATATATACCATAAATATAATTTTACCCAAGTCTCCGCTGACTTTTAAGTGACGCTTCGCCATTTCCTCCCGGAATGGAATAATTACGGTGCATCCTTGCCTGGCTGATATTCGGGTTAGAGTAGTTCTTGTCTTAAGTTTGGGTTAAAACAAAGCACCAAGCCTGTTAACGATGTATCTTCCTAGGAAGCCTGTAGCACCAAATACAGTCACTGTATGTCCACCGATAGATGATCTACGATATAGAATGTCACAAATAGAGAATTTGAGCTGTAGACTGATTCCTCACCTGCCACCTTGTGTTCGGAGTATAGGCTTTCCTGTCCGTGTAATGGCAATATCTGAGATCCGTCTAATTGATGCACCACGAATACTGTTGGTAGACGCCAGCTTTGCCGTGCGGAAGTTCCTACAAACTTGCATGATTAGCGACGATTTCGCTGGTTGACGGCGCAATCAGGTTGTCTCTCAGCAAGATTGCCGGTGCTGTAATGATGGGAGGCATGGCAGAGGTTCACAACTTTAAAACTAGTGCCGCCCCCTGGCCAAGCTTCCCCTTCTGTACACTATCCGTAACATGCACTCGCGATAATAAATACATTCTGTCGCCTTATTTCACTTGCACGTAGGGCCCAAAAATTCTGTGATTACGTACTATTAAGCTACTTCAACTCGATATGGATATCATTAATGCTACTTCGGATTATCTTGCAGAACTGAGGGGCGAAGCACCGGTCGAACTTGAACATTATTTCCTGGAATTCGAAGACCAATGGGAAAGAAAACTATGGCATCAATTGACGGATACACTCATCGAATATTTTAAACACGAAAAAAGTGCATTCCAGCGTTTGCCTCTATATCGAAATTTTATACTTCATTTCGCAGACAAAATCAACCAACTAAAACTTGTGACTCTTGCCCTGAGCGCTGCTTCACAATGCCGAGGTAGAGAAAATAAATGGATAAATTTGGAATCCAATTGACAAATCTTCAGATAGCCAAGAACGCCTTGAATTCCTATCATCAGTGGCTACCAAGGTTGACAATCCCAATTCACAGGACGCCTATGTCTACGCCACAGTCGCCGTAGCTACGGTAAAATTAGAGTTACGTGATTTCGAGAGCGCGAAAAAAGACCTTGTGAAATCAGAGAAAATACTAGACAACTTTGACTCGGTTGAGACAATTGTCCATGCAACCTTCTATAAAGCAAACGCAGAGTACTATCAGGCAAGCAGAAACTTCAGAGTTCAAAGACTAATATAATTGACTTCAAAATAGACCAAAGAGGAATTTGCTTCTTACTATCGAAATGCCCTGTTATATCTTGCCTGCATCAATTTGGATGACCTAACGCCTGCGGAGCGTCGAATTCGGGCCTATGACCTTGCAACCGCTGCGTTAGTATCTGACACCATTTATAATTTTGGAGAGTTGTTACTACACCCCATACTAGATTCTTTAAAACCTAATGACAAGGTGCTCTATGACCTACTTTTCGCTTTCAATCAAGGCGATTTGACTGCTTATGAGACTTTAATTGGTCAAATAAGCTCAGATTGTTTACTCAAACAGCACCAAGAAAGCTTGAAAAACAAAATATACCTCGCTGCGTTGACCGAAGCTGTTTTCCGAAGGCCACCGCACGACCGAGCAATGTCTTTTCAAACTATCTCCGAAGAAACTAAAGTACGTCCAGATGAAATAGAGCATCTCATAATGAAAGCTCTAAGCTTAGGGCTATTGAGAGGGACCATTGATCAAGTAGACAAAATTGCATGTATAAACTGGGTACAGCCTAAAGTACTAGATCTGAAACAAATTGATAGTATGCGACAAAGGCTAGAGGAATGGGATTCCACAGTCAATTCACTAGGAAACTGGATTGAATTCAAAGGAAAGGACGTTTGGGCCGCATGATTTGGCTTTTAATGGCGTCTGGGTAATTTACGAAAAATAGAATGTAAGTAATAAAGCTGTGCTGGCTAATTCTACCAACAATAATCGAACTAGATAGTTTAATGAGGTTAGGTAGCAAATAGAGACTGGCCAGACCTATCCGATAGCTTAATACGTTCTCAGAGTCACTGAAAGCGGAGAGGAAAGACTGAGCACCTGCCAGTTGTGGTCAACAGGAACTCGAGGATAAAATACTCCCTCATCCAAGGCTTAGTACCGACCGAGCTGCCGACGTTAGAAATAGCGCTGGCCCGCTCTAGGTCGAAATTCAGACCATTAGAGGTTTATGACTGTATAGATTACTAACTTTTTAACCCAAAATTCGAACCCCATATAGACTCAAACTATCCAATTTTTGTAAAAGGTTAACAGAAAACATTTATCTTCATTATTCTTAGTGCTTATTTGAGCTTAACTGCATTTCCAATACTCCAAATATTCATATCAACTCCTACCTATGCTTTGCAGGAGGTAAAGAACTCAGCAATAACGCACGCCGTAAAGGTGCTCTCAATACATTGGCTGTACACTTCTTTGAACCTGGGTCGGGAGCACCATTGAGCTGACCTGCAACGAATAGTCACAAAGGAAACAGGTGCAAATTCGACGGAATTTCGGTAATTAATTCTTGAGCTTTTTGCCGTATCTCTAGTCTCGACAACTGTAGTCTCGACGACTATAGTTACGACTGGGTGGGGCTGGGGGCTGGAAAATAAAAGTCTAAGATGGAGATGTTGGCTGATGAAAGGCGAATTAGTAGGACATCGGGACAAAGAGTAGGAAAAAGAAGGATATCTCCAGCGACTGAATGAGGCCTCCAATGAATTAAACGGCATCTGGCTCAAACAAAGAGATACCGAGGCTAGATACAATTAGGACTAGAAAGTCAAAAGATAATTCACGAAATAGAAAGAAGTCGAGAGCTTGGGCGCATGGTGATAGGGTCTGAATTGAGATCTGCGATTCGGCGTCTGGGAGTCGGGGTTTCATGATGATTGGATACGTCATGATTCAACACATGAGTAAAGTCCAAGGGTTTCTGGTTGTGTGAGTGCGGGGGATACAATTGCGAAGTACGTTAATATATGAATATACTAACATCGTTAAAATTTCATACTGTTGGAAAATATCCTTCCCAATGTATTTAGCCCAAGGGTGGACTATCGTACATTCATGTCTGATATGCCTTTTGAAAGAGACAATCTATAATATATCAGCAAGAATTAAAACAGTCTTCTTAAATCCTTATATTATTCTCATCCGCGACATTCAAGAGTTTTTACCTGTTGAAGGCATTGAACTCACGTATCGGATGCTGAGAAAAACTGAATATCCATATTTTTAAGTAGATTTTTACTTGAAGATATACTTATTGACTGAGCTAGTTGTGATTTTTACCCCATTTTTTATGAAAGATTCTTATAATTCTGAACTTGGCTTCCCATGCAAGGAAAACATACCAAGAAGCCACGCCGGCCACCAAACACACCATACTACGACCTGCGTATTCATCCACCACACATTCCAACCGAATGCAGCTTCCTTTAAGATATCTCTGATTTCGAACCCCCAGAACCATGTGCTGAGAGCGACTATAGTTGGAGGGGCTATTAAATGTAGCGATGCTGCGAGTAGTAAAGAGACCTTAGGATAATGAGGAAGAGGTCTGACAAAGGCCAAGGGAGCAGAAAATAGGCCAACAAAGAAGGCGAGCGAGAAATTCAATGTTGCCAGAGATGAGAGAAATAGTCCGAGTAAAAGAAGCGAAAAGGATTTTATTAGTTGGTAATGTTGAATTGTAAGTGAAACGTAGTGGGTCAAAATGGTTGAGATCATGAAAGGCAAAAACAGGCTGAATACTGCGAAAACAACAAATATGAAGGGGAGAAGCTAAGATTTGTTAGCTTCTATAGAAGTATTTATAGCGTGACTTACTGTCTGAGAGGTATTATTAAAAATATACAGGGGCAGTAATCCAAGAAACTGTACTCCAGCGACCACAGCAAGTGGTAGGAACAACTCTCTTTCGACATTCACACCATCCTCGTCTGGGCTAAGAGTTTTCTCCTTCACGTCTGGGCTTAATGCTAATCTAGGAATTTTATCTTTCGTACTCGCAGTTTCAGCACTAGAAGCTGTGGTACCACTTTTTATCCAGAGAAAAATTGCCATGATCGTGAAGTTGATACCCAGAAGCATGGCGCTAGGAAGGAAAGTGCCTATGCTAACAAACCGATTTGTTTGCATCAAAATGTAGAAGAAAAAGCTCTGGTGGAGATGTTCAAGTAGGTTATTCAAGCTCCTAAATACACTCTCAATCACTCGCCCCATTGCCATTTCATCTTGCCAACCATTTCCAAATGGTTGTAGTGTGATTGCATCGACGTGATAGGGAATGAAGCTGCTATGTGGACCAGACGCGTGACCTAACCCTTGATTTATCATACCACGGAGCATGGTCTGAAGTCTATCTTTATAGGTGTCGGAATGTTGCCACATCTTCTGTAGTTTGACACCAATTCCCATTTGACCGCTTGCTATAGATACTACTGTATTGAACAAGTCAAGATTAGGCAGCTTTCCATTGATCCCATCATATACAATATGAAGGGATTCAAACCGATGATCAAATGGATAGTCAATCACTAATGCACCCTGGAGCGCTCCGCTCTTCAGTGGAAGGGAATCAACTTGAGGAGATTGGTGTGCGTCATGATAAGCATCAACCCATGCTTGGGGACCGGCTTTACTCTCTGGCGTTACTAGAAAGATGATGTCCTTAGACCATAAAGACCATCTTTTGAAATACCTGGCGAGGGTAAGAAGTAGCGCTATTCCGCTGCGATTAAACTCGTCCTCAACATTCTTCCAGGCTCCAACTAGTACTATGGCTTCCGTGGCATCTCCTCGCGGAGCATGTAGTATGGCATATATATTTTCGCCGACGAATAGCTCTCCCGCAGAATAGTACCGAAAGCTCTGTCTGGCGACTTTCAAGCCCGAAGCTTTGAAAATATCTTCGAGAACATTGTTTACCCTTGTCAAATAATTAGATTTTCCAGGGGTTGGTATCTAGGAGTGCCAATGTACTCAATGTTATTGTGATTCTCCAGTGTTTCGATTTCGTGCTTGTAGCCCCTAAATATGTCCTGGTCGCTTCCGGCGAAATAGGTATGCACTTGACCGGGCAGGAGGGCATTTTCGGATATATACGTTCTTCGAGAGTATTTGTCCAGCGGAAGAGCGAGAAGCCAGGCGACACCGACAAGTACACATAAAAGTGAAAGATACGGGGCGAGTTTAAGGACAAAGGGATTGCGCCGCAGAAGGAATCCCGAAGCTAGTTGTGCCGTTAGTAGCTATTAACATGAAGTCCTTTGTAAACTTGCACATCACGGAAACCATGTTTGGTGATCACTCATTGAATGCTTTTCTGCCGAGGTGAATTATTGCGGGATCTAATAACTGGGTACATTAAACCATGCACACAGCTTCCCGATATAGAACAGCCCATCCTCTCGGCCTAACGCGGCCAGGCATTTCTCTCAGGTCACATCAAAGCCATGTGTAAATTGGACCGCAATGTCTAGCGGACTTTTTGCAACACCATACACAAAATCTGGCCGAAAGGTGTAATGGTGCAGCCTCCGGCAGTCACCTGGCATGGCCTGGGTGGTCTACGCTCTCCACAAGAGGCTAACACCCTTGATATTCAGCGTGCATACATCTGTGTACATTCTAGCTCTTCTGACATAGACACACACTCTATATTTAATTCACAGATACTGCTATTATCATACATCGTTATTGTCTTGTCTGAGTCTTTGACTATGTAGGACATGCAGGTCCTCTCCGCCTACAGGCCAAGGATACCTATACCAATAGTATATCCCATTCTATGCCTACTATATAGCTTTCCTGAAACAGTATCACTCTCACAAGTCTTCATTCGATCATACACTTAGAGGAGTCCTTTGCCTTTCATTACATCCCCTCTCCAGCCAACAAAACGATGGCCATTTGCGGGTGTATGGCAGCCGGGAAAATCGCAAAAGCCACTGGGTGGGGAGTTCTTCCACTACCGACATTAGGACCAGACCCTAAGACATAGTGACCCCTCAGCAGCGTTCAAAGAAGCCGGTCAGCTGGGCATGATAGACCTGTGTATATCTAAGAGCCTCTCTCGATCTTCCAAACCTCCTCCTTACTCCTCCCCTGATTCATGCCGCAGGACAAATCGAAGGTCGTGAAAGGATGTCACAAAAGTTTTGGTCGAGAGTGACTGTCGTGAAGAAGCCTAGCCTAGCATCCAAAAGTCGTTGCGGACGTGGGGTTGTCGAGTAAGTCGTGTATTTCAAAAACCGTCCTGGCTAGTAGATTCGGATTTAAGGATTATAAGAGACGGTATTATTGACGAGACAAAATCAACTATTCTTGAAGGTTGAAGGGTCTTTACTTTGCTTTCGTGGACTTTTTGTTTGCCCAACGGTGGGTAGCACATGTTGTGATGCAACGAGGGTTTTTGATTGATTTAAATTTAAGTCTCTACTGAGTCCTAGATTGTGAAAGACTACTTAAAGATGTTCCTAAATAGCTCTTCAATTAAAAGGTTAATTTTTAATTTGAATATTACAATTATATGCCAGTTGATCCTGAGGGTCATGCCCAACGAGAGTTTTTCTGACTACCGTTACAGCATTTAGTGCCGCAATACCTTTACTCATGCCCAGCATCATTGTCGTCGTCTAGAGCGTCTTGTGTGTTATGTGCTGTCGCGAAATGAGTCGTGATCTGAAAAATCGAACGAGGTTAACGATGTCTATTCTGATTATCTAAAGCAATGATATCCAAATGATGCCTCTACGGTGTAGTTAGGGGTTCATTGAGTGAAGATATTTACAGGGGTAATGTTAGTGTTATCTAAGATCGACATTACTTAATTGGTGTCTAGACCTTGTCCAGGGAACCTATTCTGTTATCCTTAAGCCTGTAACATGTGTTATCGGAAATGTATCTTTGACGGAGGAGGAGATAACTCAGCTCAGAGATAAAAAGTTGCTACTAAATCTCGGCTCTGCTGCCTCTATAGTGGAAGCTGGAGGTTCGTAGAAGACACCACTGACTGGTATTCAGTTTTTGCTCCCCCGTGATACACTGTTAATATATCTGATTGGTAATATTTCTAAGATCTTCATGCCTTCCGGATACAAAGCTTTGGTCACCCTCTATTGGGCCGAAAAAGCAGGCCAAACCAAGATCGAAGCAAATTTCGTGTTTCTGACTTATTTTGTCATGATTAATGTAAATTACATTTTAAAATATAATTTCAACAGCAGTGCAAACGATAATAAGGCCTGCTGGCCCAATGGCAAGGCGCTTGACTACGAATCAAGAGATTGCAGGTTCGATCCCTGCGTAGGTCATGAAGAAGCAGTGGGGTAGTCCCCATCCCCTCTGGAAACTCTTTTGTCCCTTTGCCTTCGCAAGCGAAGTTAGAAACCATTCAGCTTACAGAATAAATACTATATAGTATCCCATGTAGATTCTAGAAGTCCCCCACAGCCATAGACTCAGATAGTAATATTTTGATTTGTATTCGATATCCTGATTTGGCGCCCTATGGGCCCATGCAGGTGGCAACAAATCTACCTATATATTTACATAGGAGGAAGCCTCTCGGTGAAAACCCGCCAAGCTTTCTGATTTAATTCTTATAGTTTGCAGTTTTTCCTCCAGGAAGCACGGTTACGCTGTAACGCCGTCGATGTTTACCAATCACGTCCCTTCTATTGACCTCAACCTTCTACATGTTCTGTCTCGTTTCCTGAGCAGCGTTTCCACTGCATTTTTCAAGCGGAATTGTTCTATCCAACCATGATTAAGAATGCATCGTGTGATTCTTTTCATATCGCTAGGATTGTTGGTCATTGTTCCAAAGGAGCGATTTCGGGCTTGTCCACAGATTTCTCCTCTACCAGTTGATCACTTAGGGCAGGACATGATCATGTGCTTGAGATTTTGTGATTGGTAGCCGCACGGACAACTTGGCTGATAAACTCCTGGTACTTTTCTTCGGTGTAAATAAGAATTGAGCCCGATATGCTCGCTTCGAATTTGGATTGCCAAGCTACTTTGAGCGCTCGTCAGATTTTTGTGGAGAGAAAATGGGGACACCCGGAAGCTTGTCCTAGCATTTCCAGAATGGCGGCATTAGTAGAACCTTGCTGCTGCCCTCAGTTAGGAATATAATAATAATCTAATTGTCAGAATAACATGCCAAGCTGGTACCTGACATAATTTGTAATTGCCTCAGGAAAAGCTTGGCGCTTTGGATAATTTTCAGGTATAAAATTGTTGGCGTCCATGTCATAGACGTGGTGGATTGATATTGAGTATTTTAGGATTATATCTTGTGTACAACACGTTTGGATTATGTCTTGTGATGTGAGGAAGCTATTTCTAAATATTATCATCATGTGTGAGGTAGTAGATATGTGTGGATATATGAGGTGAGAGAAAGAGGAAGGAAGACAGACAATTACATCTTTTTATTTTACTTCAATTGAAAGCTCCTGTGCGAGCTATTCTTCCAGATACCTCCAGTCTCATCATTGAAGCTTCCGAGCCAGCTTAAAAGGTTCGACATAGCTCCGTCTAGATATAAAGAATTAGGGTTTAGACCCAATACTAATATTACCATTGAGCTCAGCCGCCTACGGTCACGCACGCTCGATTATCTACCAGCTTCACAGTCCATACATGAGGTTTCGGCACGAATACGCTATCCTGACCTACTTGTGCGGATAATAAAAGGCTGCCGAACCTCTTTTTCTATTGCCACCTTGCACAGTACTACGCTAAGCTGCAAAGGGCAAAGCATTTGACTACTAGCACATCCTTGGCTATTACTTCAGCGCAGGCAGTTTATGGATTTAATATCTGTGTGAGTATCACAAGTTTCTTTGAAAGGGCACGACGACAAGTCTGAATGGAATCTTGAATTGATGTAACCAATTTCCTCCTGTCTTGCTTTTCTTTCTTCATTTAATACTGTAATGATACGGGACGGAGAGGTAGCCGAGCCTAAGGCATCATGTGCGGCTCAAGGCCACAGCATGCATCGCTAGTGTACTGGCTAGGCGAGTATATATTTAATTTTACAGATGTACCCACTATATATGGATTAGTCTTATACTTTCTGTACACACACCTACAGCATAATATTGCATGAGTCTATTCACAGTTACTCCCTATATATGACATCATCCACTCCTCATCGCTCCGCATAATGACTTCCGCATAGCTCATAACCACAATTAATAGCCTCAGCAACTCATGAGAATCCAAGGGGGGCCGGCGGCGGCGGAAATTTATGTTCAATTTAATCTTCAAAGGCAGGATGATAAGATGCTGGATTCATTTGCTGCGTCGGGTCTGTTTAGGTGCCAACACGATGGGTATCTATTCGAAGACTGGGCTAACCGATACGTGGAGAGTTCACGTTCTGTGCGCCGGCACGATTTTGA